TTTATTAATTACATCTTATTTTAAAATTATATTTTACTGCTAGCTCTTAGAAGTACCTATCGAATAATAGTGTTGTAGTGTTATTTGGCTATAATATGATTGTAAAGGTAAGTTAATTCTGTGTTTCATCAGTTTGGAATAGATTTAGCGAGGGGTGTCTTACTATTGGAATTAAATGTACATTTTCTTGGCAGTCATTGTCAGTCTTAGGCCGGATTCTCGCCAGATCGGACCGACACAAATCGTCCAGATTTCGATCGCGCGACGAAGATTTTGCACCTAATCGCAAATAGGTACGTGTCCACTGACAAGATTTCAGTCGTGACCGATTTTAATCGGGCGACATTAGTCGTACGCGACGCTGCTTGCAACGTCTTTGGTCGGCAGTCGGCAGTTATTTCTTCCACTGACACACATTTCGTGTAATTTGTATCTCGTTTGGAAATATACGCCCGCACCATGTAGGTTAGGAGGCTCCACATAGGAGGTTAAAGCTGTCTTTCGACATGCGGTACATAGCTTTGAACTTGTTGTGGTATGCCAATTCACGACCGCAAATGAAAGCACCTCTGTTTTGATTTTCCGCTATGTACGGATGTACCCAAAACCGGCGACGACGCGCGACGGCGCCGTCTTCGTCTTATGTACGGGAGTGCTTCGTCTAAACTTGACGACATCTTGGAGGAGACTAGGTATCTCCACTTTAAAATAAATCTGACCATAATCGTCCCGATGCAATCCGGTGAACACATTCAACCGATTTCGGTTGGAATGACCACAATCGTATCGATCAGGACGATTATGGTCGGTCCGATTTGTTGAGCATCCGGCCTTAGGCCTAACCTAACCTAACCTAACAAAATCGGACCGACCATAATCGTTCTGATCCAGATTTATTATCATAAAATATGACAAAATTCAAACAAGTTCCAAAATGTGATAGCTGTTGATTCTACCTTTTAAATGAACTTTGAATCTTAAAAAATATAAAACTTAATGATACGCTTATGAAATATATCTCCGAAGCGTTAAGACTTAAAGAGAAAATTCAGGGATCTTCGAGGCGTAATATCTTAAAAACGTTATTTTACGTAAAGAATTATAAGGATTAAAGTAATTTTTATAGGTAATTACCTAAGCTTCATTTTTTATTCAAAGAAAAATTTTGTAAATTGCCATATTTTGACAGATATTTCCGATAAACTGATTTTCGGCCATTTGCTGGCTAAAGCTGGCTGAGCACGGTGTTACAATTTTCCCCTTAAACTTAAAAAGTCCCGGTCGAAGAATTAAGCCGTGGTTTCAACCTTCATTTCGTGGACTATTAGCTAAGTTAAAATATTTCTTTTAATGTGATATTACCATTTAAATTAACTCTAAAACTGATTTTAAGCATATTTTGGTTTTATCCGCAACAAAAGAGAAAACCCTATGTAATTAAAAGTGTAGTTAAAATTATACTTACTCAACTTACAAAGTTGCCTGTAATAAGGTATTGACCTAAACGTCTAATTGGCCTATTAATTGGCTTAATAATAATTCGTCGCATCTATTGTGTTAATTAATTCTCTATATTTTTTAAATTAATTTAAATTTTTAAATTGAGCTGGCTGTCAGTAAGAGACCTTTGTATTAATTAAGGCAAATTACCTCAAATTAAGTTGAAACGATTTTTCATTTAAAAAGTTCTCTTGTGGGGTAATAAATCTAATTAAAATTAAAATTTCCAAATTTGGCTGAATTGAAATATTTTTATCACCACACTGTATGTTGTCTCAAGAGAGAAATAACAATAAAAGTGCTTGGTTAATATAACGTTATCAAAACTATTTTTCTTGCTTTCACACCATTTTTGTCATATCTAATTGGAGGGGGAGGGAGCCTAACTTTCGAATATGAGAAACTTAAAAAATAATTATGAAAATATTTTTTTACATAAACATGTAATTTTCTTTCGTTATAATCGAATAGATCATACATAATATTTTCAAACGTATTTAGAAAGATACCAACATGACATAATAAATACTATATGAAAAGCTGGTTAAAATTTTGCCCTTTTTAAAAACCAACGAAGATACATGGAAACTAGAATAGATATAGTTGTAGGTCATTCGTTAATTTATGCTAAATTTATAGTAAGTGTTCGAAATGATGGCCCTCTTCTTGGTTATATAATCGTGCCCGTCGATTTAAATTATTGACCGCCCAAGTTCTTATATCCCTTCTTCTAATATCTCAAAATCGCGGTATATTTTCCTCAGATCTTCCACTGTTCTGCTACTGTTCTTCCATCTTGCTGCCACTACACTATATTTTTAAGGAGCTCCACAGTAATGTGTCCAAAATGTTAAGATAAGGAGACAGCGCTGGCCATTTAACAGGTCCAAGATTTCCCATCCGCCTATGTTGGCATTTTTGTTTTAAGTAGGCAGTAACCGAGCCGCGTCATGCTGGAACCAGTACCTGTTAAAATGTGCCTTTGGTAAATCGTCAAGTTATTTTTTTAAGTTGAGTTGTTAAAAACTCCAGTCCATTCATAGAAGCCATTAGGTCCTAATAATGTATCAGAGGAAATGCCTGCCGACACATTTAACCTTTCGGGGACCGTGCTACAAAAAGTTACGTTTCAGGCCGTGTGGGGTAACTACGATACCCCACTGAAATATTTCAAAAACTATTAATAGTTTGTCACTCAGGTAAATTACCAGTAATTATTTGTAAAGTTTAATAATAAAACGTCAATAATTTAAATATTTTGTATTTGTTTAATATAAAAAACATTTAATTTTAAAACTAAACTCTTATTAGTTTTCTACACATTATTTTGGCAGTCAGTGTCAAAAACGTTTTACATTCTTTGCCGAGAATATTAAAAATGGGGGTTTTGCATGTATTACATAATATTTTTGTTTTTCTCTTACGTTATCTGGCGCAAAAGCCGCATCTTTGGTTTGAATTAGGTTGAATTTCTTTAGCAGGATTTATATGATTGCTGTTGATGATGATTTTATTGCTGTTTTTACAGTTTTGTGAAACTTGTTACTATTTTATTTAATTCTTAGAACGTTTAAAAGTACAAGTCCTTGTGTTGAAGGATTGCTCTTCGCAGCTCTCGAAGCGAATTCGGCAGGAATTCCTTTTTTGTTAGCCCATCATCAGTATATTCCTTTTGCGCCATTTTCCAATAAATACATACACTAACTTACTACATCACAGTAAATACCAACACTAAACTGAATATAGAACTTGTTTACGTCTTCATACAAAGTCACCAATACGAAAAAACATGAATAGTGCGTGTAAGACTTCGAATCACTGCAGGCCGTGCGGGGTAACGGAGGTACCCCAGGCAGTAAATTTCAGTTTTTTGCCGAAAATAAAAAAATTATTTGGCTATTTTGTTAAAAAAAAGGTGTTGTAATATATATTCTAGGATTGATAGGAAAAAAGTGAGAAATAAAAATTGTAAAAGTTATTAAAGAAAAAACGCATCTGGGGTACCTAAAATACCCCGCACGGTCCCGGAAAGATTAAGCTGAAAATAGCGTGCAAGAGGAACTTCCCTAATGTGCTTTGGATTACTTGCACTCCAAATGTATTCATTATTTCTATTGAACACACTATAATATGTAAAAATGCTTTCATTAAACCAAATAATATTTTGTAAACAATCGGCAAACTCAATTTTGAGATTTGAGAGCTAATGGCTAGTTTCGAGTCTTCCCTCAGATATCCTGAGGGAAGTCCGGGTATAGTCTCTTAAATGTTTATCTTGTAACATTGCAAATCCATTCGTCTAAATTCCCTCGAAACCCCCGTCTGCGGAACATTAACCTTGTTTGTGCGCTATTTGCTTGATAATATTACAACATAGGTAAATTTACAAGAAAGAAAAGCCAGAAAAGATCCGCAATTCTGAAAATTTAACCAAAAACTATTTTTTTTAATTTTCAAAGTAAAATAACTCTGTTATTTTGGAGTTATTTGAAGAACTGTAAAGAGAAAATATGCTCATTCTATCGAGATCTACCAGCCTTGAAAATATTTGCACTTATTTGTGACTTATTTGTGACTCACTCTGTAGTAGTAAATGTTATTTGGCATAAAATAATAACTTTTTTATTTTTTTTTCACTTAAAAACCCAGATTTGTATGTTAGTATACGACATAAATTAAGATTGATTGACGTATTCAATTGTTTTTGGTCACGAAAAGCGCTTAATAGCCAGTTGTGGCCAGCGGTTCTCAAAATGTTGCCTTTACTTTTTTAATTTTCAAAGTTAAATAACTCGGTTATTTTCAATTAATTTTAAAAATGGTAAAGAGAAAAGATGTTTCTTATCACCCCTTAAAATATCTGCACTCTGGGACATCCTGCATAGGTGGCGCCCTTTACAGTTAGGAGTCATACTGACATCGACATATAATTTCTTATGTAAAAGAACACCCCTTTCCATCCAAATTTTTAATATCGGCGTTAGCTGCGAAATTACTTACTTATTTTTATCCGCAGAATATACTGCCGAAGTTTCCCGAATACAATTCGGACCACCCTATACAGGGTGTCCCAGAAATAAGTGCAAGTACTTTAACTGGTAGTTTTATATTTCGACCTCAGAAACACGTTTTTTTTGCGAAAAAAAAAATTGAAAATTTCTGGAAATGTTTTTAGTTTTAAGTTAAAAAACATAATTTCTTAATAATATGGCGACATAGGTAATAGATTAAATTTACGTGAACGAAAATCCAGAAAAGATCCAGTGGTTCTCAAAATTTAAGTAAAAAAGCATTTTTCGTTTAAATTTTCAAAGTAAAATAACTCAGTTATTTTGAACTTCTTCGAAAAATGGTAAAGAGAAAAAATGTTGCTTTTGACCAGATCTACCACTCCTTAAAATACTTGCCCTTATTTCTGGGACACCATGTATATGTACCAATAATAATATAATAAGAGTATTTTCTGAGTATGTGAGAATCTTACAAAATGGTCTGACTGTGCGTCGGTCGCGTCGTTTTCAATTTATTGTTTATCACTCTACAAAACTATAATCGTCAATATGACCCTGCTTAGTTTTTGCTACTCTAGAGAACTCGAACCATCAAGAATTTACTGATATATTTACATACTCTGTGTAGCCGGTACTTAAAATTGGTCGCGTTTACCTTGATAAATAATGGTACCTAATAATAATCATTTTTTAACTGATCGGAAATAGTCGCTTCTTCAACCTGGCCATTTAAAAACTTGTGTGAGGGTGTTGATTAATTTATCTTAGAGTTTTGGCAAGTGTCAAGAAGTTGTTCAATTATGAAGGTAAGAACATTTACGATTCTTTTTGCTTGGAAAACTATTTCAATTAATTTTGTTTATATTATTCATTTTTTTTCACATTATTTCACATTTTCTTCATCTTACAATTATAAATTTTATTATATTGTATTTTATTATTATTGTATTTACGTACAATTTCGTTATTCGTTAATCATAATATAATTTTTTTAAAGATGCATGCACAAGAATCTATTTTCATGTTCTTGAAATCGGTCGTGTGTTTACGTTAGTACTTTAAATTTTATTTGTACTATTCTTTTATGCAAATTGTGTTGTTGCCTATTTTTTTTTGTAGGCATTTTTATATTTTAATTGATCTAATAATATTTGTAATTTTGTTATAATTTTCTGAAGAAATATATCTAATGCGTATTCAATATTATCTATTTAAAGATTTTAAATAGGTAAGTAGTTTCCCCACGTGACTCATACTTTCTAAACATTGTTTACTTAAAAACAAATTAATTTCAATCTGTTATTGATATATTAAAGTCTAATTATTTAATTTATATTTAATATAGCTGTTGTAAATAAAGGTATGAAAAGCAATTAAAAAATCACTGTTCCCGTGTTTGATCAGTTTGATTGAGATTATAGTTAAAAAAAATCTAAATTATTTAATGATAGACAAAAAATATTTATTTTTTCTAGATTATGAACCATACTGTCTATAGTTGGTTTCTGTGGTTTATTTATCAAATTGACGATATGATAGTTACTACCATATTGTCAGTCATTATTTTGTATAATATCGTGTTGTTAAAAATTTGGAAATAATTCTCGCTTTTTTGCCGATTTTCGTAGTCTTTTTTTTAAATGGTACTTTTAAGCACAAACAGTTCTTTTAAGAACTAAATTTTCGAGTATTTGTATTGCATTTCTTGAAATTGTGTGTTGAGAATGTGTCGAAGCATTTAAACAGTCGAAGAAAAGGGCTAGTAGCTTATTACCCTTGACTGCACTCAGAGAAGTAAGTTTGATTGGTAAGCACATTATACCAGTTTCAAAGTTATTTTTACTTATTGCTACTGTTACTGTTAGTGACTACTGTTAATAAATAAATTAATTACTAAAATAATAATTATTAAATTACAAATAAAACGTATAAATCTTTAAAAAATGATATAATAAATATATTGTTTATCAATCTTACATTAAGATTCATACATTAAGATTCATCTCATAAGTTCATCACAATCTGGCAGCGCTGTCGCCATCACTTGTCACTCAAAGTAGATCACGTGCATCGGAAATTGTTATCTTGTTGGTTAATTTCTGTACACCTGCAGCGAAAAAATGTATCACTGTAGACTGTATACCCGGGATTTTATAAAAAAACACATTTTTCAAAAGGCTTTATTTGGGAAATATTGCCACATTGCAGAAGAATTCTGAAAAAAAACTTTTACAGAATAATTATACAGGGTGAGGCCTAAATAATTCTACAGGGTAAGTCTTAAATAAGTGCCCAGCAGTACCTGGGGGGGGGGCGGCACCCCCGGGCACTCCTGTAGCTACGCCAATGATGACATCTTCGGTATATTTTTACTTTATTCGATAGAAAATGACAATCTGAATAGAATGACATATCTTATGTCAACTTTTGACATTTTCACTTTAAAAAAATCGTATTTTAAATTTTAATCTAGTGACACAGCTGTGTTAAAAGCACTAATTTTTCATCTTGGAAAAATAGATTTGATCGTTTTTAATTTTCTCATCGTGTTTAATGTTTTTCGTGTCAAATTGTCAATGTGAACCGCATGATACAATTTTAAATAAACCATATGCGAAAATGTCAAAAGCTGATATATGATATATCATTCTATTGAGAGTTGTTTTCCCGCTTTGGAAATTGTGTCATTTTCTAACGAATAAAGTAAAAAAATACAGAGGGTGCCATTTAAAAATCAAAAGTTGTAGTCATTTCCGGTGAAACAGTAATTTATTTCATATACTAACATATCAAATCTGTTTTTTTATCTGAAAAAATAAAAAAGTTATAAAGGTAAGCCACTTTATTAAACACACCCGGTATATATTATACAAGGTCCGGCAATAGTGCGTAGAGCATCTGTAATGTGTAGCTCCTAGAATAAAAAACTTGACAATTTTGTTTAAGTGCAAATCTATAGTATATACTAGGATGGTATTTCAGGAAAATAATTTAACTTCAACAGGGTGGCTCAAAAAAGTGTGAGTGGATCATTATGATTTTTTAAATGGAATGCACTGTATATTATTGAATTTTTGACTTTCTTTCGGATCATTTTACATAATCCTAACATTTGAGTAGGTAAATATATTTCATTAGCCTCAGAGGTGTTAATAAATAAATAAAAAAAAATATAAATTTTTCAGCCTTTCTAAAAAAAATTATTAAAAATACAAGAACCTCGACAAGAACTGTCCTGAAATCAAAACTATATTAGGTATTTACTTTGGAAGGTCTGTACTTACTTTGCTATAATTATCGTAATCTTAATTCATACAGGATGTTCAAAATTCTACGCCAAACCCTCCCAAATATAAAATAATTTTTCTTCCATTTCTTAAATGGAACACCCTGTATATATTTTTTTTAATATATTGAGAATTAGAAAATAAACATTTTTTGTCTTAGAGTTTTTTTAAATTTTTAACGGTTTCTCAGATATTCGCGGTTTTATATTTGATATGGCATTTTCTACAGTAAATTTTTATCAGACACCCAATTATTTTTCTCTCGTATTTTCTTGTATTTAATAATATCGCGAATATCTGCGAAACCGTTAAAAAAATTAAATACTCTAAACACAAAAAATGTTAATTTTTTAGTTCTCAATTGAAATAAAACTATACTAGTTAGTAGTATTCCGTGTTACCAAAATAACAATAAAAGGGAGTTACAATAATTAGAAATGTGCAGATATATTCGTGCCTACTGACCAACTAACATCTAGCTACAGATGACTGTTAGTGTCTATTTTCAACTAGAGAGCTACTGCACTTAAATGATAGGGACATGTCGCCTCTTATCACACACACTCTGTATGATTTAAGATTACTATATTTATAGCAAAGTAAGTTTAAACCATCCTGAAGTAAATACCAAATATAGTTTTGATTTCAGGATAGGTTTTCTATTTGTAATATTTTAACCGATTATCGTGACTTCTAACCTGATGAAAGATCAGATATGCGCGTTTATCTCTGTATCTAGTAAAATACAGCAAAGTATCTGTACTCTGAACGACCGTCTCGGCGGATCCGGAATGTCAATCTGGACTGCAGGACCGATCACTTAAGAATCCCTTGCGTGTTTGGGCGGTTATTGGCATTACCAAAATTTCGCCACTTTCACAATACAAAAGTTCTTATCATTCTACAGACAGGAAATTTATGACAGGATTTTAGTTTCCGGAAGTACACGATATAACCTATTATCACAGCTATTATCATGACGGAAATTTTTATTGAGATAAAGTTTTTTTTTTCTATTGTTATAATTTCCTTTGCTTATTATTTGTTCAGTCGACCATTGTTCAGGCGACAATAAATCAAGTCAGATTATTTTATTCAGATGCTATGGAAGCACCTATGCAACATTTTTGTTATAAATTGTTAGTATCAATATTAGAGATAATAGATCTTTATTTCTGTAATAATTTCAATCTACCATTTCGATTACTAATAGGATTCCAGGCCAGGAGGCAGTGATTTTTTTTGTGTTTACTTTTCCAGTGGGTGAATATATCAATAGTTTGGTCAGATGGTGACATTAAATTTTCGGATGGGTTTTCAAAATAAAATAAAAAAGTCCACTTATTTTTTATATGCAGATATATACATTTGACATCCATTAATATGAATCATTTTATTAATGGAACTAACAGTCTGCCACATCCCAAATGGTGGAAAGTTAGTTCTGGCTGAAAATTTGACAGATTTTTGAAATCCATAGCCCTTATTTTTCCATGCTTGAAATTTAGCGTATCATTTGATACTTTTTTTTTCCAAGGCATCGAACACCAGAATCATTAGCCATATACAACTCGTTATTGTTAACAATAATGCAATTACAGGGATCCATCTCAATATCCTCAAGGCAAGGGGTTCAATCTTACAAGGACAATTCAAAATTTATAAATCTACATTGACATAAACATTTCAAATTGAGCGACAAAAGGATAAAAAGAACTATACACAAAAAAAATATACAACAAAAAACAAACATTAAGAAAAAAAGGTAATTATTTACATCACATTATCACACTTGGATTAGAGTATCATAGAAGAGTATCACAGTTGGTGGTATATATTAATATCTTTCATAAATTTCAAAATATTTTTAATTTTTTCTTCTTCAGTTAAATTATCATGAATTTCACCACGTATATCGAATCTATTTCTTCCTACCGTGTATTGAGGACATTCACATATAATGTGAGTTACTGTCAACTCAACATCACAAACGAATACAGATTGGAGGTATTTCTCTGTTAGGCAGATATGCATGAGTCACCGCAGTATGCCCAATATGAAGACGATGCACTCTGGATTCATCCGCTCGTCAATCTGGACTGGGGTTGATGGATCCTGTTTTATTGCGCAAAGCTTTGAAGCTTTGACCTGTGGAAAGCTTTGACCTGCCCACTCATCCCGCCATTCCCTTTCTGTTCTTTTGTGCAGTAGAACTTAAGATCATATTTACTAATATAATGGAAATCAATGGTATCTCTTCTAGCAGCTTGCTGAGCAGCTTCATCTGCTATTGTGTTGCCAAGGATATTAGTGTAGCTAGGGACCCATACAAACGTGAGTTTGTTTCCCTTTTCGCCGCACTCTCGAATAAGCCTCTGAATTTTTTGTTTCAGAGGATCATGGACAAATATGTCTTTAATTTTTGACACGATCTCTAAAGAGTCAGAAACAATTAACACTCTAGATTGATTATATTCCTCGATGACATAGGATTGATCAAATCAAAGGCAATCAAGGAT